GGTTGTGGTCCTTTTCAAATGAGAAAATAAATTTAGTAATAATTAACACATCGTACAGCAATTAATAATCAATATCAATTTTTAGTGAGAAATATACAAGTCAAAATTAAAATTAAATTGAAATTGTGAAACAGCCACATATATCCCAACCAAGGATCATCAGATTCTAAATTAATTGAAAAACATTAGACGTATGAAATACTAAAAAACTGATTAATAAAGATATAATATTTTAGATAAATTTTTGAAAAGTAATGTCAGTGTAATAAAGTAAAGTTTCCAAAGCAATTATCCAGTACTGTTTAGTAACAAAGTTTCTGATAAAGTTTCCAAGGAAAGTTTCAAAAGTCTTTCTTTTTAAAAAAAAGACGATAGATCACTAACACTAAATCTCCTTTTTTTTACGCTACATAATACAAATAATATATAATAATATAAATACATAATATCAATAGTTAAAAGATCTGAAGTTTGAAAGACATACAAAACTCGCTTCACACTTTAAGTATTAATTAAGTAAGCAAAAAGTACGAAAAAACTGTCGATAAGAAATCTCTGCTGGCCCGCAGTTAAATTCCTTGTTCTATATTACTGATAATGTAACGCGCACATCAAATCATTGATTACATGTATTTTATTATACACATATGTATGTCCTCAAATATTGAGAATTAATTTCGCATTACTACCGTGTACGTGAATAAATTTATTTGTTACGTTAACATTGTAAAGTTGAAATCAAACAGTTCGAAATTCTGAATTTATGCATGTATATACAGGAATTGTAATTTTTGAAATGACAACATCGAAAAAAATGCCAAATTGATTTTAAATGCTTTATATTCGCTCATTTTTACATATAAACGCCGTTATAAAATGCAATTGTACATTAAATAAAATCTCTTATATATTTTGAGTGCAGTAATTAACATAGTTTTTTTCCTTTCGTAAAAAATTATTATAAAATTTTATACTTAAAAATTAGCTTGGAAATTATTTTGACTGTAAGTTTTGCAAGATATTCCGCATTTCTAAGGTTAAAAAATATGATACAGAGTTCTCAGAGTAAACATAAATATAAAAACATATGTGTAAGAGAAGAGACAAATAAATTTAATAAATCCGAGGGCTGCTGTACAAATTTAACACACCTTAATATACAAACACATGACATTTTGCATACAAATATTTTCATATTTTACATAAATTTCAATGCCGTTCTGTCTCGTCGACGCTGAAATGTTTGAGGAAACACAAAAATCACACAACAACCCTTTAACTCTTTCTCTCGAACGTACACATTTGACGTAGTAAATGTATATATCAAGTGGATGAAAAAAGTGGGAGAAGAAAATAAAGACTATTTATTCGAAACGCTTTTCATTGAAGGAGACTGTAAACTTTCGGACATGTTTTTCCAAACATAACGATTTGTTGTTGTAGTGTAAATAAATTACTTTGCACCATATCTGTAACATAAGAAATATCATGTAAAGGATTTTACAAAGGAGAAATAACGGTTTTTACGGAGAAGAAAAACGTATAATACGTGAAAATATAAATCTTCCCTCTTCCCGAGCATTCACGCACGAAATACAATTTATCTTTTCAATATATATTAGGACGATAATTAAAATACTGCTGCGCGAGGAAAAAATACGCGTTCTCTTACAAATCGTAGTAGTTAGGAAAAAAGGTGAATATACGAGGAATATAATAATTTAATTTTTCGCGAAATTAAATTAATTGTATCGTTATAAGTTAATAAATCTCTGTATGATTTTTGTATTAATTTCACACATCCGAGAAGTCACTTATATATCTTTATTATATACGTCATACGTAAAAGGATTTGCGTATACATACACAAATGTAAAACTTCATTACAATATTGTCTTTAAGTTTACCTTAGTACATGAATATGCATGTTATTCATATCGTATGCTACGTTTATAACGTTTAAATGTATTGACTCTATGGAAATTCCACTTAAGCGACTTTAGTCTACAATAGACTTTCAATTAAGTGCAACATCTCTAAGCGTTAATTAATTAGTCATTGTAATATTGATCGAGAATGCGGAGCAGAATATCGTGGCAGTTTAATCATATAAGATTTTAGGACAGACACGATATTATTAGATATTATTAGATCATTATGATGTAGATATATTAGATCATTATGATAAAGGTATTATTATTATTATTATAAATTAATAGTATGTCACAAGAGACTTTTACACATTATGTATCAGTAAACGAGATAAAAAATTATATTTACGTCAAGGAAATAAAAAAGAAAAAAAAAAGGAATTTGAGACTTTTATCCACACTTTTTGCCTTATATTATTTTCTATTAATATGATTATTAATAGATGTAATTATGAAAATACCCAATTATCAATGAATTATTGCTTTATTATTGCTAAATTATTGATAGATAAATTGTTACATCAATGCAATGATTATTCATAAATTATAACATGATTGTATAAGTTGTAGAAATTATAGTTATGATAGGCTTAATTGGAGCTAATAATTAATTAACCATGTACATTTATGAATGTCCTTTGATCAACTTCTATTCATTGAGCAGCACACAGATGTAATATTCATTATAACGCTTTGTTGACGCGCATAATAACGACGCTTTTTGTTAAAAGATCATTTGAATATCATGATTGAACATTCGCGCTTTTAGTCAGAGCATTAATTCACTTCTTGCTCTAAATCGATTGACGTATTAAAACTTACATAGTGATATCGAGCTTTGTTTCTTTGTTAATTAAGGAGTCAAGAATCACAATCATTTCAGAAGTACAAAGTTTTAAAAAAGAAAAAAGTAGGAAATATTATTCTTTATTTAATTTTTACTTAATAATCTTTCTGTCAAATGCAAATTTCTTTTATGTATTATGTAAAAAGCTTGTTTATAATCTGTTATAACAACGTCTGTCATTACTTCATCAAAACTTATAACTTATAGGTACATCTACTTTTAATCAATAAAGTCTTCTTATGTGTACTCCATATTAAAGTTAAATCAGAAATTATAATTGAAAGATTATAACGAAACTTATCTATTCTGTAAAGGAGTTACGTACACACATATCATATATACACCTATATAAGTAAAGTTTATATTAAATGTGTTCCTGCTGCACTAAAAATGTTTCTCGCTTACACAAAGCAGTATACAAGAAGGCAAAAAAGGAAAAGAAATGCGAGATTTCAGATAAATTATTCTCGTTTCTTGGCTTTTCAAATGAATTCCAAGTTCTCTTTTCAAATGAAATCCCAAGTGAAAAAACGTTACGATAATGAACGATCTTTCATTCGGCGGAAATAATATCGATTCACGTATCAGCTGATTGTGACAGATCGCGCGCTGCACTTCGACAAGTGTAAAATTACATTCGCTAGAATGATGTGGTTCCGATAAAAGTAGTGTTTACTGTAATCTACATAAAATTATATAGATGATTATATAGATAAAATTGTGATGTCACCTTATTTTTAAATAGATAATAAAAATATGTATTATTTATATCTGCGTCTAGATGGAAAAAAGTGTTATTTATACTAAATTATCTAGAATAATGTTTAGATTTGTTAGAATTTGATTTAGAGTCATAGCACATAAAAATACTTAGCACATAAAAATACTTAAGTAGTAGAAGAGGCATAGCACATAAAAATACTTAAGTAATAGAACTTCAAACTTATAAATAAAGATATAAATATAAACCTTTTATTATTTCTTTCAAAATTTTTTTACATAATTGTTTACATGAGAGATTTTAAAAATAATATTATCTGAAAGTTATTTAGATGAATCGTCATATAATTTTTCTTTTTCTAAATATATTTAAAACAAAACCTTTATCATTTCTAATTGTAATATGAATTTACATATTGTCATCTTATCTTTATCTAGTTAATTTTAAAATCATCTAAGCACAATACCGGTTGTAGTTCAGATGAAAGATTTTTAGATTGGTACTTTGAGTTTATCTTTTATTTAGATATATTTGAAATAAAATTATTTTCATCTTATCTAAGATAAATTTACATATTTTCATTTCATTTTTAGTTAATTTTCGAACCATCTGTAGTTCAGATAAAAAATTTTTAGATCGGTACTTTGTATTTAATATTTTATTTAAATATATTTAAACTAAAATCATCTTTATCTTATCTAAGATAAGTTTACATAGTTTTATCTCATCTTTAGTTAATTTTAAAATTATCTGTAGTTCAAATAAAATATTTTAGCTCGGTATTTCGTGTTTATCTTTTATCTAGATATATTTGAAATAAAATCATCTTCATCTTATTTAAGATGAATTTACACATAGTTCCATCTCATTTTTATCTAGTTAATTTAAAAATCATCTAAGCACAACACCGGTTGTAGTTCAGCTGGATACTTCGTATTTAATATTTTATTTAAATCTATTTGAACTAAAATCATCTTCATCTTATTTAAGCTAAATATACAGTTTTATCTCATCTTTAGTTAATTTTAAAATCATCTGTACTTTAGATAAAAGATTTTTAGATCGGTACTTCGTGTTTACCTTTTATCTAGATATATTTGAACTAAAATCATCTTCCTCTTATTTAAGCTGAATTTACATTATTTGAGATTTTTCTAACTATCGTTAATTTATTTATTTAATTCTTAGCACATATATTTAATATTTTATTAAAAATTTAATTATCAAATATTAAATATTTTAATAAATGTTTATCTCATCTTTATCTAGTTTATTTAAAAATTATTTAAGCGCAATACTAGTTGTAGTTCAGCTAAAAGAGGGAAGAAAAGAAGATAAGAGAGAGAAGAAATGGAACGAAAGAGTGCGAAGCGGCAAGAAGGGGTTGATTCCGCGTGTTACGGGGGATAAGTGGTGGTGGATCGCACAGGGCGGACGATATGCGTTCGTCCTCTCGCGCGCGCGGCTAAAGCCGACGCCGTCGCCAGTAGCGTCGCGGTGCCGGTCCGATGCGGTTCCTCTCCTTCCGATCTCTCATTGCTATCTCTCTCCGCTTTTTGTTCTATTTTCAACTGTCCGCGCCGAACATCGCAATCCCGTAAGTACGCGCCGAGTAATAGTGGAGGAAGGATTTCAGGCACATCTAATACTCGGTTTATGTATATTTTTGGGCGAGTTTGATTTTTTTTCTCATTTTTCTTTTCCCGAGAAGTTGAGAAAAAGAGAGAAGAATGTGGAAATCATCGCGCATTATCATGCAAAAATCAGATTCAGGTTTCTTTCGCGTCCGATGAATCTGACATGTCATCTGTCATATCTGAATTATACTGAGTTTGTATCTCTTATTAAAAAAAAAAAAAAAAAAATCGTCTTGAAGGAAATTTCTGTTTACACGCTAAATCGATGGATTCTACAACGGTTCTGTGTGAAGTGAATATGCAATTGAGAGAAGTAGAGAAAGAAGATATAATTGACAAATATATTCGAGTGTCTTATCATTAGCCTTAAACTTAGTATATTTATAAAAAAGAGTGTAAAATTATAAAATTAAATTATAATAAAAAGAATATTAAATAAAAATAAGATAAATAATGAAATGTGAAAATAAAAATTAAAAATGTAAAAATAAAATAGACATGTCAAATATATATGTGCTACGCAAATTTAGCTTTTCATGATTTTTAATCGTGTAACTGGAGATTGCTGTATTGAGTTATTTACGCGAATTTTTGTGTAAATACATAGAATGAGAGATAGCTTTAATATTTATAAAATGCATATTTAATATATTTTTCGTCACTTTCCAATATATGTATATATATATATATATTGTGATTTTTGAAAATTTTGCGGGAAATATTTTAGCAATATAAATTTATGCAATTAAAATGGATTTATGCATACTTATTATTCACGTCATAGATTTTTGCGCGAAGAATTTCCGCTATTCATTATATCCATTCAGCCATGGATATAAATGGTTTAATGTGTCTAAATAGAGCACCGTATGCAGACTATATACGCAAACAAACGTGAATATATATATATATGAGATAATGTAGAATTATCGGTGCTTGCTTTCATTCAACTATTCATTTGAACAATTTGATCAATTCAAAGAATCAATTCTCTTTCAAATAAAATTATCGATTAATTGTTCTATACATATATTTTCTCTCCCTCTCTTTATTTTTCTGTTACATATATTTTTTATATTTAATATTAAACAATTTTGTAATTTATTATAAATTATTAAAATAAGAGGAATACTAATTAATTACACATTCTAATTTATCTATTTTTAATATTGAACTTCAACTTATATTAAAAAAAAACCGAGACGCAACCGTTTTCTGTACTTAAGAGTACAAATATGGAAAGAGTAATTTTTCATATACATATATTATCCGCGCATGGATGACCGTAACATAGCCGTAACATGTGGAATAAGTACACGTGTGGAAAAAATACAACTAAATTCTTGTACTCATTCTTCTGCCAGTAATTACGAGAGGTGTCGGATTACTTGGCAAAGAGGATCTCGTTTAAAAATAGGATCTGGTAAGAGACAGTAGTTAGACATCTAAATTAAACACAGTTTTTCTGTAGTAAAATATATCCCTCTTTCCTTTAACATATTATAACAATATAAAAAGTTTAATTATATATATATATATATATATATATATATATATATTTGTAAATAACAATATTTGATTGGGTCGAGTGCAGTAAAACTAAATAATAATTTATGGACCAATTTATTAAACCGAGCAATTTATTAGGTGTCGAATGAGTTAATTTAATATTTTTTTTATATTTTATTTTAAAAAATTCACCGCAATAAAATAAATAAAATTAAATTGTTTTGTTGTAAAGAATATCTTATTTTTGAAGCATAATAGAATATTTCGATTTTCTGAGCGCATACATAATATATACCTTTAAAAAAATCGGCATGCATGTTAGTGACATATCTAACAAAAGTACTGTCATATCAATGTGTTTGACATCCACACAAATACACACGTTTTGCGAAATTATCTAAATTCTGAAATCATCCGTAATATTATTCGTAATGTCTACAATTTTATTATTTTCTTTTTTCTTATTATTATTTTCTATAATGCTTTAATCTTCACCTTTCTTGCAAATGTTGTATAATTAAAGAATCTTCTAATATTATAATTTATTTAAATATACATTTTTCTTTTTTATAATAGTATTTATTTATAAAAATATATATATGTATGTATGTATATAGGTATATGTATGTATGTATGTATGTATGTATATGCAAAATAATATATATGGCTTCACACGTGTGCATTCATTCATACTTCATATTACGTAGACGCGAATTAAAATAATTGCACATTGTTTCGCATTCGATGATTATTCAAATGCTGCTCTTGGTCTTTCATGCAAACATCATGTAATTCTAGCATGTTATTGTTGAAAATGTTGATTGAACGATTGAAAATATCATCGAAAATCGGTAACGTGTTTTTCATACACGTAATATGCAAAGAAGAGCGAGCGAACTATTTTTACGAGAAAAATCCTGTTTCTACCCTTATTTTATTATAACTGGAATGACGGTTTCAGTATCATATTTGTGCTTTCTGTTGAAGAAGAAACAATGTACGTGTTTGAACAAAACATGAAAATATGGGTAGAACCGTTTGAAGAAAAAACTTCGCGGGAGAAAACGAAGGTTGATATTCCAGAGAACAATAACTCCCCGAGAAGGCATGTCTTGTCGCAGACATTTTGAATGACGTAGTAACTTTTAATCAAAATATTTTTACATCAATTAACCAAAGTTTGTAAAACAAATGCTAATTAAAAAATAATAACGATGTATTATATAAATCAAAGAAAATTCTTGTTAAGTTTAGAGAAACTTCAAAATTTGTCCCTATATAATGTAAATATAAATAAATATGCAGACATTGCTTTTAAATGTTGTATCCTTTGAAGAGGGAAGAAAAATCTCAAATCGTTAAAATCGCACTGTTAAAAGGAAGTAGAAGCTCGATATTCTTTTTCTCGAATACTTTGCTAAATATTTATCTATTACGTTACATGCTTTGCCAGAGCATTGAAAGAATTGAACGGAATCTATTGATACAAACTTTTCCTTTAAGGCCTTATTTGGAAAGATTAAAGTTTCTTCTATATTATATACACTCATTCAAGAAAATATATGATATATTTATAAATAAGTATATACACTATATATTTTAAAAATAATATATATATATATATATATATATATATATATAGAATATTTATATATTATCTATATATTTAATTTTATATACAAGGTGTATCATAAGTCACGCCGTATCTCTGGAGAATGAATTCGTCGAGTCAAAATAAGTCGAAAATAAAGAATGACAAAATTACGTTTGAGCCTTCTTTGAAAAACTACAATCAAATAATCAAAAAATTTATTTAGAATCAAATTTATTTTTATTTAAGTTGAAAACTATAAATTAACTAATTTAATAAATTAATTAATTTAATTATTATTTTACATATTATTATTAACACATTATTTTAATTGTAACTTTTTAAGGGGATGCTGCCGTAGTTCTGTTTTACCGACTTTAAATTAGGTTAAGTTCACTTTTTATTAAATATACAGATTGAAAAATTGTCCACAATGAAAATACTAATAATAATGAATGGGGAGCGCTGTCCGGCAACTAATTTTTGCTGTTTTATGCCTCCAGATCGATTCCGCACGCAAATATACATACATAATTAATTCAAGTACGAATCTTTTGATAGAGGCTATTAATCTCATTTTTATTAGTTCTGTATTATTTTTTCATGTCATCTCTATTGGGAGCGCCATATTTTGTGCACAAATAAACTGCAGAACTTTTGTATTAAATAAGTATTATTATGAGCTGATAGAAGAGGCCGATAAAAAATTGTAATTGTTTAACTTTTATTGTTTTTTTTATACAAAATTACAGCTCCCTGTTGATTATTATCAGTACTTTAATTGTGAAGAAGGATTTTTCAATCTGTATAGCCAATAAAAAAAAATCCTTGAATTCAAAGTCGGTAAAACAGTCATGGTCAGCATTCCTTTAAAGAAGGCTTAAACGTAATTTTGTTGTTCTTTATTTTTGACTTATTTTGACTTGACGAATTCATTTTCCAGAGATGCGGCGTGACTTTTGATACACCCTGTTGTATATATAATATACATTTATATTATTTCTAATTGTTTTCCTACACTCTTGTAACTTGTTGCCGCTCGTGTTTATCGCGTGATAAATATAGACCATTTTTTTGCATCAGGGATGAATCAATTCGGGAAACTCTTTAAGTCAGGTACTTAAGTTTCGTTTTCGTACATTTAGGTCGGATGTGGCTCTTCAAGTTTACGTTTGCCGCGATCAAACGTGCTCGGCATGTCAACGCGTCTGTTGCTGGGATTTGCGCCTAAATAAACAATTGTCCGAGTCATCTCTCATCTCGACAGTGCAGCGCCGCTGCAACTTTTGCAAAGTTTAGCTTGTCCTGTAGCTTAACGTCGAATTGAAATTTCTACAGTTCGCAAGTACACAAATTTTGTTAGAATTCTGTCGCTAAATAATAATAATATATCTTAATTTGTTCAACATGTTTATCGTATTTATCCAAGCGGATACAATAATTGATAAATTTAATTTGTAATTTGGAGTATATGCGTTATACACTGTTATAATTACGCTCATGCGATTGCACGCATCACCGATATTGGTAGAAAAATTAATAAAAAATTAATTCTTTTCTCTCCTCTGACAATTTCAATTCTATAATTTGTAGATAATTTTTAAGAAATTAATTGAAATTTTTCGGATTGCTTTGTAAATAGTATATAATTTCTAGGCGAATAAAATACACATACATATATATAATATGTATATTTATCTATAGATTGAAAGTCGACATCAAACGCGATTCAAATAATTTTCAAATAAAATCAAAAGTTATGCGTTTTCTTATATTTTTTAAATATAATATGCTTTATAATCTATTAAATTATAACATTTAAAAATTTAATAAATTTTTAAAAATATATTTAATTTATAA